GAGGTCCAGTGTTGGCAACAGTGTGTAATAATAATGCACTTCTGTCCCCAGCGTGAACAAGGATGTTATTCTACCGTGTGTCACACATTACACCAGCCGCAGAAACCCTCCTTGTTCCTCATTTCTAAATATCTTCTTTCCCCTCTCGATCCGAGGTACAAGGACCCACTGTGATGTTGCAGATTTCCTGGCACTCTCTCCCAGCCGCTTTCAATGGGCCTGTGATCAGAAAGGACTGACTTTTGAGGCAAAGGCACACACCGATCCGTGGGGAGGGGGGGCTGAGCTTGCTCCGACCGATTGGAGCTGTCAATGTCCAAAGTGAGAGGGAAAAGAGCCCTCAGCAACAATCCTGTGTGAATGCTGTGCAGTCTAAGCAGATTTCAGGCCTCTTTAATGACTGCCTTTCAGTTCATCAGTGAACAATGAAGACTATAGAGAGATGATAGTTTCAAACAGTCTCGGGTCTTCAACTGAATGACTGTCCACGAGAAATGATGTACACCAGAGTCATGCAAATAATGCAGACATACAGATTGAAATAAAAAAATAATTTGATCACACAATCCACGAGTGTTTGCGGGACACTGCTGGGCGCAATTGGCTGCCGTGTTTCACCCACAATATAATAATAATTCTAGCATTTGATATTGCTCCTTATCACGTCTTCTAGACATCTCAAAACGCTTGACAGAATATACTGTAAAGTGAATTGACTGTGTATTTTGTAGGCAATACCCAGCAGCCAATTGCGCACAGCAGCGTCTCACAAACAGTCGTGGATTAAGTGATCAAATTATAATTTTTTTTGTTTTGGTTTTAGGGATTATTATGACTGGAAAAGCGATCTGCCAATCAACTAAACAACCGGGTTCTTACTTACTGCTAAAATACACACTTTACACTATATCCTGTGAAGCGCTTTGAGAAGTCTCGTTAACATGATAAGGCGCTATATCAAATGCAAGGCTCATTATTATATACTGTACTAATTTTAGTTATATACCGAACTCATTCTAGTTATACAGATGAACACCAATTGGGATAATAAACACAGCTTCTGATTGTAGCCTCCAGTGTACATAAAGTAATGTAATAATAATAATTCAGAACAAATCTGCAGAAACACTACTTCAGTGAGCGAGTAATGAACTTGTGGAACAGGTTCCCTTGGGAGACAGACGGTGGAAGCAGAAAATGATGTTTGTTTCAAGAACAAATGAGATAGATTTCTGCTGGAAAATAATATCTGGGGATACAATATATAGTTCGGAACACGACATGTCAAGCGACTGCCAGGATGATGGAAGGCAAACTAGATGGACCTTGGTCTTCTTTCGCCAGCAAATTCTTATGATCTTAATTCACAAGTATGACTCAAGTCAATATAATATAGTCACAAACTCCAGCGTATACTATACCATGATACATAGTTATAATATTTAACAGCAACAACGATGCACTGATATAGCATCCTTCACACATGATAACGTCTCGAACATACTAAATTACCCTTCTGCTGCCTATGTGATTTCTGCCATGGGTGGGGACAGCTGTTCAGCCCAGGTTTGGCATCCATTAGATTCCCACTAACAGCAATGCTCCGCAAGAAATAGGTCAGTAGGTCAGAGAATCCACTGTGTATAGAGTACTATACAGGAATCAGACTCCACTGTTTATACACTGTTACCTAGGACAGAGACTTACATCTATGTACTAATACTGACTACTTGCTCACTAATGAGCTAAATATGCACTAATATTTAACACTAAATACCAGAGAGCATAGAGGGTAATGCGTGTCAGCCTGGCTCAATGGTAGCACTCTGGCCTCGGAGTCAGACGGTTATGGGTTCACGTAGTCCAAGCTGATACTCCAATGCTGATGTGTTGCATTACCTTCCTGACAGTTGAGACTCTATTGACACATAGTGATGTGTGGGTTAGGAAGACCCAAGTCGGGGACAGAGTGTAGGCTGATACTCCAGGGCAGGGCTGGAGGGAGGGCTGCATTGTTGGAGATATTGTCCTTTGGATGAGATATTAAACCAAGGTCCCATCTGTGTCTATTCAGGTGGACTTTAAACACCTCATGGCACTATTCGAAAACAGAAGGGAATTTCTCTCTCCTGGCCAACAATCCCCCAAATAAAACCAGTCACTCACTCCATGGCTGTTTTGGGGATATTTCAGTGCATAAATTATCTGCCACCAGGTGCCTACAAATACACAGTTACTACACTTAACAGTAACTGCTAGAAAGCGCTTTGAGATGTTACATCAAAGACCATTGTCTTAACATTGAAGATTGCACAGAACTTTGGAAAAGGCTAAAGATGTAGTCTCTAATTTGGGAAATTAATTTATTTCAAAGAATACTGAAAGCAATCTCAAGGCTGAATTTAAGAAATGGATCTCGGAGCATTGATGTGGTAACAGTAGATATCAAGCACTTTGAGACATTCCCCCAATGTAACAGGCGTTATTAGATAAAGGTAAACTGTATTGTATCAGGCAGAAATGACAAACTCCTCAACTGACTCAGAGAGAAAGCCTGATCCCATATGAGAAGGTCTAAGAGCAAAGTGTTAATTGCACTGGGAGTGAATTAATGTCATTTAGTGTTTGGGGAGACACTAGCAATTCATGTCAAAAATCTCCACTCTCTCTCTCTGATGTGAAGGAGAAACCAGGTGAAGGTTACACTGAGTTTGATGAACTGGGGTCATCATTCTACACACCATAGAATCATAGAATATTACAGCCCAGAAGGAGGCCATTCAGCCCATCTTTGGAAGAGCACCCAATCAGTCCCACTTCCCCGCTCTTTTCCCCATATCCTTGCAATTGTTTCCTTTGCAAGTCCCTATCCAATTCTCTTTGAAGGTTGTTATTGAATCTGTTTCCACCTATCCTTTCAGGTAGCGCATTCCAGACTGTAACAAGTCTCTGTGTAAAAAAAACTCTCCTCATCTCCCCTCTGGTTCTTTTGTCAATTATCTTAAATCTGCGTCCCCCGGTTTGTTTTACATTGCCACATACGTTTGCATTCATTCTGTAAATATGTTTCCTGATTTTCTCTAATTCCTTATTTTTCACATTTATTATGTACTAGCTATACCCGATGCAGCTACACTTGCAACCAAAGGATCTAATATGGAATGTAGATTTCGCTATTATTATACTTTATATTATATCATATTATACTTTATATATTATTATCTATACTAACAAAGATGAAATATCTGTTTATGTGTGTGTTTGACAAGCCAGTAACGCAATAACTGATTGACATAGAGACATGATTTATACCTTATTGGAAAGGACTTATATGCGGGAGTGGTTTTCTCTGTCCATGACAAAATATGCCCATGACACTCCCATATGCAAGACCTTTCCAATGAGGTATAAATCATGTCTCTATGTCAATCTGTGTAAAACAAAAATGTTTCTTCATATCCCCTCTGGTTCTTTTGCCATGTAGTCAGTCTCCAGGAAACCAGCAATTACTAATACTCCATATATAAATTTCCCAAACACTCTCCAATATAAACCAGCCAGAAACTCATTCCTAGGAACCTTTAGTCTATATATAACTTCTCAACCCTACTGGATAAGATTTCACCCTTCATTTACCCCTGGGATCTATTATTCTGGATATAAACTCCCACCAGCCCCAATCCAGTCTGGTATTCACTCCTGGGATCTGTTACTCTATGCATAAATGTTCAACACCCCCCACCTTCCCCCCAAATAGATTTCACCCCGTCACTCACTCCTGGGATCAATTACTCGACATGCAAACCCTTGAGCCACTGGATTAGATTCTAGTCTGTGACATCCTGGGACATCTTTCCAATGTGAAGGGGGTGATGCAAGTGTAAGTTGTTGTTGTTGTTGTAGACTGCTGTGACTGCTTTTCTCTCCTTAGAACATGATATCCTATTTATAAGATTACTAGTATGTGACCTGTTGAACAGATTTACCTTATCCAAAGTGTATATTATTCTATAAATAGGCCACTTTGAACTTCTGTCCCAGCTAATAATCAAGTCTGAGGCTCACTCTTGTGTACGTATTATTCTCCAGTCTAAGAAATCTTTTTGCTCTACAGATAGCTCCACCGGGGGAGTGGAGGCTCAATGAGATGACTGGTCTCTTTCTGTGCTATAGTTTCTACCATTCTAAAAATGAAATAAGATGCCGAGGCCATGGAGGGGGTGCAGAGGAGATTTACTAGGGTGATATTAGGGGTGAGTGGTTTGGCCTATGAGCGGAGGCGGCAAAATATACATTGGCTTTCAAAAGGGAACTGGTTAGATATCTCAAAAGGAGTCATCTACAGGGTTGTAGGGAAAGGACAGGTAAATGGGCCTGAAAGGATTGCTCTTTAAAAGAGCAGCATAGACTTAATAGGCTGAGTGGCCTTCTTCCTTGCCGTGAATTTCTAAGGTGCGATGCTCCTAGCAGCGCAGGGGAATCCCGTTACAGCAGCCTTGCTGCAGTGTGTTCCACGTGGCACCTTAGGACATCCTCCCGACGTGAAAGGCACTACACAAATGTAATTTTGTTGTTGTTGTTGCTACCCGGAGGCCTATTTGCACCTGGCCTCTGCCATTGACTTAATGCTTCCCGAGCTAAAAAAAAGATGTCCAGCTTCTAGGTGGACAGGTCATCGCTAGCGTCACTTCCTGCATGTTGCGCCTGCACACTAAACGCAGGAAGCGCACCCAGGAAATGATGTCAGCAGTGACTTGATCACCCGGAAGTCGATTATATTCTTGGCACCTCTCTTACAATGCCAACAGAGCCTGGGGTAATGGACCCGGCCGACTGACATTCCGCAGGTTTCCTTGAATGCGTAGAAGGAGCGTTACAGCGATTGTGTTTGTGTATAACGCACTCTGTTTAAGCCCACCCAACGAGGGCCGCTGTGCTCACTACCGTCCGGCCCCCACACAATGAGGGTCTCCCTGCTCCCACGGACGGTTGGTTCCTACCTCGTGTGTTAGTCGCCATGTCAGCCACTTTTTGGAAGGCGTCAAGGAACGCGGCAGCAGCCAGCACCGTGGTCCTGTAGTGAGAAGAGGAGAGCCACAGGTCAGAGACAAGCAGAAACCAAACCCCCATCTACTCCCTCGCCCCTTCCCCCACGACACACACACACACACACACACAGGAGGGGAGCATGGGACTGGCACAGGGAGGGGAGTGATAGATAATATTCTGACTTGTTTTCAAATCGCCTCATGCCCTGGCACCTCCCTACCTCTCCAACCTGCTTACCCAAACCCACAACCCGCTGCCTCTCCTCGACTGGCTCCAACCTCCTCCATGTCCCCTGTGGAGCTGCTCCTGTCACCCTGGCACCATCCAATCCATTCATCTTACAATCAGCCCAGCTCGATCAGTAACACTTTAATATCCATCTAAATAAACAATCAACCACTCAGTTTAACGTCATATCCACCAGGAGGGGACCACCGACAATGGATGGCTCCCCCAGCACGACACTGGAGTGTCAGCCTGGACAAGACGAGTTAAAGCCTTGATGTGAGGCTTTTTTTTTTTGGCCAGCCGGGTGTCCACACCAGACAGAGCTCCACATAGAATCGTAGAATATCACAGCGCAGAAAGAGGCCATTCGGCCCATCTTGTCTGTGCTGGCTCTTTGGAAGAGCCACCCAATCAGTCCCACTTCCCCGCTCTTTTCCCCGTATCCTTGCAATTGTTTCCTTTGCAAGTCCCTATCCAATTCCCTTTTGAAAGTTGTTATTGAATCTGTTTTCACTGACCCTTTCAGGCAACGCATTCCAGACCCTAACAACTCTGTGTAAAAACATGTCTCCTCATCTCCCCTCGGGTTCTTTTGCCAATTATCTTAAATCTGCGTCCCCCGGTTTGTTTTACATTGCCACATACGGTTGCATTCAATCTGTAGATACGTTTCCTGATTTTCTCTAATTCCTTATTTTTTGAATTTATTATGTACTAGCTATACCCGATGCAGCTACACTTGCAACCAAAGGATCTAATATGGAATGTAGATTTTACTATTATTGTATTGTACCTTATGTTGTATCTTATATTATATTATTATACTAATAAAGGTGAAGTATACATTATTTTTATTATTATAACGATATTATTGAACGCTGTAGATTATACTGTATAATGGGAGCCTGGCTTTCTGATGTTTTATGTGAAACCTTCTCATGGGAATGAAAGGGAAACAGTTTTATCCTCTAAGCTTTCAGCAAGATAAGAGAGTTCATGTTATAATAATAATGGCATTTGATATAGCACCTTATTACGACATCGAGACGTTGCGAAGCGTTTCACAGGTTATATCGTAGAGTGACTGTGTATTTTGTGGCAAATGCAGCAGCCAGTTTCGCACAGCAGAGACCCACAAACAGTCGAGGATTGAGTGACCAAATTATGATTGTTTTGAAAAGATTATTACCCCCGGAAAGCGATGCGCCAATCGACTAACAACTGGCTTCCTACTTCCTGTCAGGTAAACAGAGGTCTGTGGAGTAAGGAAACTTGGCAAAGTGTTCGCCCTGCTGGGAATTGAACCCGGGTCTTTCGTTTGCGAGGCGAGTGCTTTAACTACCGAGCTACAGGACTCCATGTTAATTGAGATGCCCTTCAGTGAGACCGGCCTGTGTTGGTAGCTATTTAATGCTCTATCATTTTATCGCTTGGTGTCCCTGCACACCTGCCAAGCTTACCTGAGCTGGGAGTGGAGTTTGGCTGCCTTGGCATTGAAGTCTTCCCAGATGGGGTAGGATCCCTGTAAGAAGCAAACAAAGGGGAAGAAATTACACACAGCTCGATACAACTCATTACACCCAGGTGATCAGAGGCTTTTAGCCAAACTTAAACCCTACAATCAGAGATTGCAATGTGTTAGAGAGAGCACGAAAGAGAGAGAGACAGAGACAACAACCGCAACTACTACCACAAGGTGACCAAAAAGTTGTGATACCATTATAGTGTCCAATAAGTCTTAAAGAAATGTTTTTTTTTAGATAATAATGTAGTTATCATGACTTTTTGGTCACCTTGTACTTGTGTGTCTATATATATATATATATACACACACATCTTGCTCTGTCCACGGTGCTCTATCTATATTATTGGGTGGGGCATTTGTCAATGAAGTGAGAGGAGGAGGAGAGAGAGGTAGAGGCAGAGACGCTGTGTATTGGAAGAAGGTCACAAGGTTCACGTTCTTCAGCTTCTAACGAGACGTCACTCGGCTAACTGGTGATTTTGCTCATTTGCACAATTGTTATTAATGTAACAATCAGTCACATTGACTTCAGAGCGAGTTTGGAAGGTCCTCACTGCAGTGTCCCACACGTACAACCCAACATCCTGTGAACTTCTCTGCGGGGAACCCGAGAGGGGTGGGAGACAGGGATTGGTGGTGGGTGGGGTGGGAGGGGAGAAGGGAGGGGAGATAGTTTGGGGAACCTGAGGAAGTCCTGTGCAGATATTTTTAATTTACATCTTTAAACTTACGTATTCTCTTTAAATTGTATTAAAATAAAACTGATTCACAAAGACAGCAAACAATTGGAATTGGAGCAGTGCCTTTCACAGTGAGAGGACATCTCAATAACGCTTCAAAGGTTATGCTGTAAAGTGGAGTGACTGTGTATTTTGTGGAGAATGCTGCAGCCAATTTGCGCACAGCAGTGTCCCACAAACAGCCATGGAGTGAGTGACCAATTTTATTTGGGGGGGATTGTCGGCCAGGACACCGGGAGAGAGAGAAACTCCCTTCTCTTTTCGAATAGCACAATGGGATCCCTGCCCCATTGATAATGCAGCGCTTCCCCCCAGCACTGCCCTGGAGTGTCAGCCTAGATTGTGAGCTCAGAGTCCCAACATGGGGCTTGAATCCACAAACCTTCTGTCTCAGTGGCCAACAGGCTACCAACTGAGCCAGGCTGACACCAAAATTGTTCCTGGTCTCAGTGATGCTCCTTGCACACCAGTGATGGTAAGGTGATCTGCTGATTGACTAACAACCGGGTTCCTACTTACTGTTAGGTAAACAGAGGTGCGTGGAGTAAGGAAACTTGCCTAAGGTTTTGCCCTTCCCGGGAATCGAACCCGGATCCTCTCGCTTGTGAGCTGAGCACTCTAACCACTAATCTACAAGACTCCACAGGAATATGCAAGATCAATAATAATAATAATAATCCTTGCATTTGATATAGCGCTTTTCACGTCGGGAGGACGTCCCAAAGCGCTTCACAGAACACACTGTAAAGTGAATTGACTGTATATTTGTGGGCGAACGCGGCAGCCAATTGCGCACAGCAATGTCCCACAAACAGTCGTGGATTGAAAATGACCAAATGACCAATTTATTATTGTTTTTGGTTTTGGAGGGATTATTATTAGGCTCTGTGTGGAGTAAGGAAACTTGCCCAAGGTTTCGCCCTCTGCCTGGAATTGAACTCAGGTCTCTCACTTGCAAAGCGAGTGCTCTAACTACTGAGCTACAGGACTCCACTAGGGATATGAATGCCTAGTTACTGATGTTACTGATGTTACTGATGTTAATGGGTGTCGTTGCCCACAGTACAGACTGACACAATACAGAGAAGGCTTGGTGTTTGTCCTCTGCCCATGGTGACTCCCAGCGTACATAACATGGGATGATATGCACACAGGATCATTTTGTCTCTGAGACACCAATAAGGACAACTACACCTCGTGGGGTGAGATTATGGAGTGGAGTCCTGTAGCTCAGTGGTTAGAGCACTCGCTTTGCAAGTGAGAGACCTGAGTTCAATTCCAGGCAGAGGGCGAAACCTTGGGCAAGTTTCCTTACTCCACACAGAGCCTAATAATAATCCCTCCAAAAAACCAAAAACAATAATAAATTGGTCATTTTCAATCTACGACTGTTTGTGGGACATTGCTGTGCGCAATTGGCTGCCGCGTTCGCCCACAAATATACAGTCAATTCACTTTACAGTGTGTTCTGTGAAGCGCTTTGGGACGTCCTCCTGACGTGAAAAGCGCTATATCAAATGCAAGGATTATTATTATTATTATTATTATTATTATTATGGAGGGCTGGTGAGGGAAATGGAGTTGAGTCCAGTAGGTGGTCTGAGAGAGTGTAGAGGGAGCTTCACTGTGACTCTAACCCTGACCTGGGAGTGTGGACGCACAGTGTAGAGGGAGCTTTACTGTGTCTCTAACCCTGACCTGGGAGTGTGGACACACAGTGTAGAGGGAGCGTTACTGTGTCTCTAACCCTGACCTGGGAGTGTGGACAGACAGCACCTCTGACAGTGCACTGCTCAGCCTGGACTGTGAGCTCAGCTTTATACAAAGGAAGCTCTCAAAGACGCTGCCTGTGGTGATGACTGCTGTCATTCACAAACATGGAGCTGAAACCTGTACCCGGAGCTCTTATACTGGAATATTAAAGTGGGATATGAATGCCTAGTTACTGCTGTTAACCTCTGGATTCTATCATACATCCTTGCAAAGCGGTGGAAGGTACAAAACCTAGGCCTGATACTACGAGAACTTCCTGACATTGTGTCCAGGTTAGAAAAGGATGTGAAGTTCTCTAACCTCCTGGGACGATTTCAAGGGAAAGGAAATGTTGGCGTCAGCTTTACCCCAAGGAGAACAGCAGCTTGCATTTATACAGCGCCCTTCATCAGGCACAGTGTCTCAGAGCGCTGCACAGTTGGACACTGAGTAAGGGGAGGTGACCAGAGTCGCAAGAGTTAGGTCTTAAGGTGAGGTTTACGGACATAGAGGGGGGTGAGGCAGAAGGTCGCCCACATCAGCAATGCAACAGGAAATGTGGATCCTTCATTCATATTGGTGCAGTAAATGATGTCGGGACAGCAGCCTATTGTGATGGAGGGTAGAGCGAGATAGCGAGAGACAATCTCTCCCGCCACACGTTTAGCGAAGGACTGTCCATTCCATCTGTCAATGTCAGGCAGCCACATTCACATTCCACAGGAAGCTCAGCTGCGAGGGGACAGCGTGGAGTAGCTGCAGGAACAAAGAGATTGACCTGACAGAAGACGTGGACACTGAAGACACATCCGTTTTCCCGCTGCAACTTGGAGTGAGATGTCACACTTCAACCTCAATTCTCTCGTTCCATCAAGACATGCAGAGGAGCTGGCTTCAAAACAGACCAAAGCACTAACTTGTACACAACTGCATGGTTAGAGAGGGGTCTGGGGGAAGCTTTCTGTGGCTATAGACCTCATAAAGTAGTTCTCTAACTACATAGGTGTCAGCCTGGCTCAATTGGAAGCATTCTCTCCTCCGAGACACTGGGTTCAACCCCATAATGCTACTATAATAATAATCCTTGCATTTGATACAGCACGTTATCACATCTTTGAGACATCTCAAAGCGCTTCACAGAATATACTGCACACAACAGTCTCCCACAGTCATGAATTGAGTGACCAAATTATTATTATTATTTTGAAGGGATTATTACCACTGGAATTATTATGAAACCTGTGAGCAGTGTGTGTGTGTGTGGGGTGTATGTGTGTGTGGGGGTGTGTGTGTCTGTGTGTGTGCGCACAGTGTAGAGTGAGTGCCCCCCTGGTATAGGGTGACGGAGATCATTGCTCACACACTCTCTGCTGGAGCCCGCTGCTATCACTGCCATCACTACCTCATTAAGAACTTCTCTCTCACTCTCACTGATTCATTAACTTCATTATTCACTTTACAATGTCGTCCTTTATCCTCGGAACTTCCTCTTTATCTGCAACGCTTGAGAAAATGCCAAATTTCTCCGTCTCACACTCTCTTTCATAGGAATAGCATTAGGCCATTCAGCCCCTCGAGCCTGTTCCGCCATTCTATAAGATCATCATCAACTCCAATTACCGCCCTTGATACCCTGACCTAACAGATAGATCTATCTACCTCAGTCTTGAAGATGTGAATGGATCCCGCATCCGCAGCTGTTTGGGGGAGAGTTCCAGATTTCCACTCCCCATTGGGTGAAAAACTGCCTCCTGATTTCACTCCTAAATGGCCAGGCTCTAAGTTTATGTTTAGCCCCCCCACCCCCCGTTCTGGATTCCCCACCAGAGGACCCAGGTTCAATTCCAGGGCAGGGCAAAATATTAGGCAAGTTTCCGGGGGTAATAATCCCTTCAAAAAATAATGATAATTTGGTGACTCAATCCACTACTGTTTGTGGGACGCTGCTGTGTATAATTGACTGCCACGTTTCGCCCACAAAATACACAGTCAATTCACTTTACAGTATATTCTGTGAAGCGCTTTGAGACGTCTCAATGAAGTGATAAGGCGCTGTATCAAATGCAAGGATTATTATTATCATTATTAATCACAGCTCATTTGCCCCTTTGCCACCACACCACACGTCCTGGTCTGAAAAGACTGCAGAGTTAAGACACGGTTGCAAAAAAACAGCAGGGATGGATCTGCTGAGAAATTGTGAGTGAGTGCGCCTGTTTGTGTAGGGACGGGAGGTGACTATTTATCTCCTCCGGGTGTGTATGTGTATTGTGCGTATGTGTATATTGTGCATGCGTATATTGTGTGTGCATGTATATTGTGTGTAAATTGTGTGAGTGCGTGTATATTGTGTGTGTGAGTATGTGTGTGTGTGTGTGTGTGTGTGTGTGTACATTGTGTATCTTGTATATTGTGTGTGTGAGTATGTGTGTATGAGTGTGTGCGTATGTGTATATTGTGTATTGTGTGTGTGAGTATGTGTGTATGTGTATGAGTGTGTGTGTG